GACCCAACCAAACTCACTGCCATCGAGTTGATGCCAGCTCACAGCCACCCGACAGGACAGGGCAGAACTGCCCTGGAGGGTTTCCAGGGCCGGAATCCTTTACAGGGGTCGGAAGTCAACTTCAAAACCCAACCCAACCCCTGTATTCCAGCACTATGAAATGCTAGGCACCCGGGCTACGTGAAAAGGTGTCTTTCACCAACTTCGCAAGGCTCCGCTGAACACAAGTCCTGGGCGTAGCTCCCTACGGCGAATGCTCTCGGTCAACGCCCGTAGATCCTAAAGTTTGTGGAAACATGTCGGGGAGTGAAACTCTGTACATGCAATTTTCATACGGAATCCCGCCCCTCGACAGCGCCATCCATGCCAGCCAGGGGTGAGCAGCTGACCTCTTCAAGCGGACCCCGACGTTTAACAAGCGTGGGAAAAGGTGGCCCCCGGAGCTCGCGGACGCGCCGCAGGGCCCTCGCTCCCCTTCCGGCCGCGGCGCCCGGGTCGGCTCCCCAGGCGACCCGACCCCCGCTCCCGGCGGGAACCGAGGGACTCACCCAGCTGCCCGGCTCCGGCCGGCCTCCTGGTCCTGCCTCCTGGTCCTGCCACCCGCAGTGCCCGCGGCTGGGGTGCGCTCCCGTCGACTCCGACCCCCCACCAATCAGAGCACGCAAAGCTGGTGAACCCGCAGGAACGCCCCCGACGACCCCGGCGCAGCCAATCAGGGGCGGGAAGCTAGGGACGTGCGCCTCGGAGGGCGGGGCGGGGCGAAGGCAGCGGCCGCGTGGGAACCAGTGCCAGCGGGGACCGCCTGGGTCAAGGCCACGGCCTTGCTCTCCCCCCTATCCTGCGCGCCTCCTGGAGGGAGCCCTGGGCGCGTCACCCTTGGGGAATGTCACGAGCCCGTAAGGAAAAGGACAAGCGTAACACTGAAACGGTCTATCTTAAGATACAGCCATTCCCCAAATAATAGGTAAGGCCAAATTTGCTAAAGGGTTGTGGTTTAAAATGTAAAAAAAAAACAACAAAAACCCCTCAAAACTTCATCCTGTTGCTACTCCACCCCCTACTCCAGCAGTCAAGACTCAAAGCCTCCCACCCCAACCCCCTTACCTTTTTGGGGGGCCACACATTCTCTCCCCTAAGAAACCGTGATTCCAGCCAAGTGGAACACTGGGCGCCGTGCCCACGATCTGCTCCAGGATAGCTGACAGTCTTGGGAAACCCGATGGGGCAGTTCTGGCTCCTATGGGGCCTCAAGGGATTGGCATCCACCTGATGGCACAAACCACCACCACCATCTGGAGCAGATGGCCCTGTCTATTCTCCCAGGGAGCCGTGGGTGTCCCACCCCCACCAGCCCCCCACCAAAGACCTTGTGGTTAGCTGTGAGCCACACATGTAGCCGTGGCACTACCAAATAGTTTCCATTGTAGTTGTAACTTGTGATGCTCCAGCACAGGTATGGCGCTGGACCTGGACTTAGCTGCTGTTTGTACGGGGTGGTGGTGTGGTTGTGTGTGTGTGTGTGTGTGTGTGTATTAGGAAGGCTGTTGGGACCCTTTCGTGAGTTCACCACACAGTTCTAACGTGACCCTAACACAACACCAGAAGCTGTTCTACCCTCTTCTGACATGAGCACCGTGTGGATAGTTTTTGCCATGCCCAAACCCTGGCACACAGTAGGGCCTCAGGAAGTGTTCATGAAACCCGCGGAGACCTCCCCACTTTGTGCTTGGTCAGCTTGGTGGTGATGGAATGGCCTCTGTACTTGAACTGTGGAGAGTGGCATTGAGAATCTTAGCTCTTCCCCTCAACACCCGCTCTGCCCTGCACAGTATCTAGAATTGATTGCATGGCTAATACACAAGGTGGGTGGGTTCTAGCCCAGTAACTCCACCCCTCTGATTTATAAACATAACTATTATTCATGGGCTTACTGCGTATGTTCTTCTAAAATACATGCATTTAGGGATTAACCAGTGTGTAGCTTCCATTTAGGCCAAGTGAACTAGGGGTACTCACTGCCCTGAAGATGAATCTGAGTCTTGGGGACCCTGCAAGACCGGAGTACAACTGCCCCTTCATGTCAATCTCCACAGGGGCCCACGGCCTCATCTTTCTCTGCAGAGCAGCCATACGTTTGGAACACCACTGTTGCAAGCACCCAATGTTGAGCCCACAACACCTAGTGGTGTGCACAAGAGATCAATGTTAGGCAATATAAACTTAGCTCTAATCACTGCTGCCAACACGGATCGCAGGGAAGGGATGCGAGCTTGTGCTAGGACTCCAGGCAGTCACATGAGGACTGTCTGCACATTGTAATCAAAACTGGATACGGACCAATGTGGCTAGCTGTGCCCACTGTATTAAGGAAATGCTACTCGGGCTGGTTCTGCTGCCATCCCAAGTATTTACACAGTAGTGCTTTGCTAAGGCATACAATCAGGGTGGGGATATGGAGAAATATGGGAAAGCAGATAACCTGATGCCCATTATCTACAAGAACTTTAAAATTTACAAACATATATTTGACATTGTGGAAGGACTGTTAAGCGTCTAGTATGTAAAATGCCCTAAAAATGGCACCAAGATCATGAATCTTTCAGATTCCAAATCCACAATTCATTTTAAGTGCGTAAAGCAAATGCCTGGCTCTTTCACCCCCCATTTTGCCATGTGGTGCTGCACAGGTGGCAAAAGAGTTCACCAAGTGTTTGTTACGTGGAGGTCTTAAATCCTGCACCCATCAATTCCCCTAACGGGGAGAGGGTTAGGGCACTGGGCATCCTAGTGAGGGGTGACTACTATACTACATACAATTTTGTGTATCTGTTCAATGGACGGGTTCCTCTCTTTGACTTTGTGCTCCACCTGCAGATTTTAGACAAAGCTTAAAAAACAAAACCAACCAACCCCATACCTGTGTCCACCTGGAGATAATTTAGGTTAAAATATCCCTTTGTAGGGAAATGTCCTGTTCCCCCTGGAGGCTTGCTTGAGTGCAAGACTATGCGTAAACCTTGACTGCATGTTCCAGGAACTTAAGTGCCAACACTGAGTGTGGTAGTTACATCATTTCATGTCAACTTGATAAATAAGTGTAGGGGTGGAGTCAGTCTGATGATGTCTCCTTGGTGTGTGGCCTTCTCATGAGGATGCTGAGAACTTCCTCTCTGCTTCACCTTCCTGTTGACAAGCCACATGAAGCCACGCTGACACCTGAGAGTCCTGGAGAGGCTTCCACCATCCACGACTTTACACCCATTGGCCTGTGATCCTCCTGCATTTGAATCATTGCACGTGCTACTGAGTCTGAATAGGGATTTATGGACTATTATTGGACTTATTGACTGGGATGTTTTCTTAATATACAACTACTCTTTGATAGAAAGCTCTTTCTTCATACAGGAGTGTCTCTCTGAGTCAACCAGGCCTGGGTGATAAGGCGACTCCCTCTGGTCAGAATGTACTTGGGCGTGAGAAATATTATGAATCATGAAAATATCTTGAGCCTGACGTTGCTATCTATGCCCTTGAATAGCCCCTGCGTTTGAACTTCTGTAAAACTACCTCCTCCTAGTGTGCAAATAAAAACAGGTGAGTGGAGAAACGCAATTCTTCTCTCCGAGTACCTCTCCCTTTCCCTCGTCGCTCAATCTCCTGTCCTGAGCAGTTGGTCTGTCTTATGTAGCTCCCAGCAAGCTGGAACGCTACACTTATTTAAAGCTCTTTGCTCCTGTGGTTGGAGTGACAGGTATCGTGAAAAATGAAAATATCACTCCTTACGTTGTAGGAGAGACTAGTCCCTGGAGAAGGCAATTATGCTTGGAGGGACAGTGACAACGAGGAAGGCCCTCAATGAGGTGGACACAGTGGCTGCCACACGGACTCAAGCACAGGTTTATCTGTGAGGAGGGCTCAGGACAGGGCAGCGTTCCATTCTGTTGTACACACACACACACACACACACACACACACACACACACATCACAGTAAGTTGATGGCACCTATCAACATCATCGTAACGACGTCTATTACTAGTAGCGATGGAAACACAAAACGCTCCTGGGTATGATGTAGGACAAGAGCTAGCCTGCTGGTGACCAGTAAAGGAGTCGTGATAATACAGCAGTAACGATGATGAGAGTTATCAGAGAAGCAGCTTACTAGGGCACGTAAGTGGGAGGCATCAGGAAATGGGCTTTGCTCAGAAGGGTGTTTGCAGATGAGCACCGCAGGCACAGGAAGTTACGGCCTTGCCCACGATTTTGCAGGTCATGCGTGGCACGGCTAGGCATTGGTCTCCAGAGACACATTCTCCACTGTACCACCATCCTGTCTAGTTCACTTGAAAATTATCACTGGATTTAAATCTCTTCCAGAAAACAGCATTAAAGAAGTAAAAAATATTCAGGCCACAACATTTGTATTTGGAATGATTTTGAGAAGTCGTTTTTTTTAAGTAGTTCGTGGGCATTCTTTCATTCAAGGGGCCCTAGTGGCAGAGTGGCTTATGTGTTGGGTGGCTAATCACAAGGTCAGCTGTTTGAAACAACTAGCTGCTCCACAGGAGAAAGACCAGGCTTTCTGCTCCTGTAGAGATATATAGCCTCGGAAACCCAGAGGGGTAGCTCTACTCTGTTTCATTGAGTCACCATAAGTTGGAATCAATTCAATGACTGAGTTTGCTTTTTCAGTTCCTTAATTTGAGCCCAGGTGGTGCTGTGGGGTAAGCATTAGGTTGCTAACCTTAAGATCATTGGCTCAAACCCAGCAGCCCCTCTTCAGGGGAAAGATGAGGCTGACTGTAAAAAGCGATTTAGTCTCAGAAACGCCGTAGAGGTCACTCTGAGTTGGAATCGGCTCTAGGGTGGTGGGTTTGGAGTGAACACTGATTGTGGTTTATGGAATGTTTATGTGAGGATATTTACATCTCTCATACCATCAATGCTCGACCACTTTTCCTTCCCCCACCCAAAGAATAAACAACCAAGAAGACATTATAGATTCACATTTGTATACAGTTTAATAACAAGGTCACTTCCGCCGTAAACAGAGACAGGGAGATGAGGAGAACTTGACACGTGATGACTTTCACAAGCCTAGGTCCACATGAAGCTTGAGAACACCCAGTCTGTGTAGCTGAAGGCGCAGCGGCCGAGTTTGGTGACACACGTTTTCTAAAACATTGTTATCTAAGAGTGCAATGTTAGATCAAACAGTTATGTCAGGAAAATTGCCCTAAAAATTTAACAAAGTTTTTTACGAAAGTCTAAAAACCTCCTTTTTCACACTGACTTGCAAAGCTTTGATTTTTGTATCAGAACATCAGTTTGTAACTTTAACTTTTGTGGTACATGAAAAATTATCAAAAATATATTGATGGGTCTATACTAATTGTGACTATATTTACATTAAGCAAATTCCTTTACCAAGTCCTCTATATACAAATTACCATTTGCTTTTGTGAAATACATGAAAAAGTTAAAAACCAGGTGTCATAGAAACGCTGCCCTTGAAATGTAACCATTTTCTTCCACGAGTGGACATTTTAAAATAATTTAACAGAAAAAGCACTGAACTCCCCCCACCAATGTTGGCTGCTGCGGGATCTTCCTGCACGTTCTCTGCGGCTGCAGGGGAACAAAAGAAATAATGAGTAAAAGGTTCATGCATGTTTCCCAATCTTACCTTCAAGGAATTTACAGTCTACATTAAATTGGCATGAAACATTAAGTGATAAAAACTATAAAGAATCTACCTTTGAAATCTGGCAAATACACTGAGAAATGCATCTTCATACTTATTTAAATCACAAAATATCATCCCATGTCCAATTAAATTTGGAGATAGACTTCGCTGTTAGATATTTAAGAGTAGGGGGTCCCATTTTTAAAAATTTAAACTACTCCTAAACTGGGAAGAATTTAGATTTTAGAAGCAGCACAGCAGATGAAAGAAATTTAACAGCATTTAAGAAGCAAAGGTTTTTTGGAAAAGTTCATAAAGAGATTATCTTCCTACCAGGGAAACACAAAGGCCACTTGGTCACATAGTAAAGAAATGAAAAAGATATTTTTTGGTAAGAAAAACTTGACCACAAAACGAGGTGCTTTTTAAAGGTCATGGATTCAGGCCAGCCATGAAACTGAGTGCAGCCCTTTCCCAACACAGCCTCATTTCTCTGGTCTGATAACTGATCTCTTAAGAAGGAGTGTATGCCTCAGAGTCAGGTTTGAAAACGGGGACAAAGCCCACTCTGCAAACTAACTGAGTCTCTATGAACCGGGCATAAACAGGAGCGCCAGCTTCCCGGTGTTTACCTAGTTAGAGCTCTGTCGCTGAACTTTGGGACCCACACTCTGCGTGTCCTCTTCTTGACTTGGCCGTTTCCCACTGCTCAGACCAGTGCCCAGGGGACTTCTGCCTACACACGGAAAAACACAAGTTGCGTACAGAACTGGGGAAAAGGGTAGGATGGCTGAAAGCTTCATTCTTACCTTGCTTTAACAGGGCGGCCTGCTGGCTGTCTCCGTGAGCATAATGTAAAATTCCGTTCCCTGGAGGGCAACCTGTCAGCATGGAAGACACAATAAAATGATTTGAACCAAATTCCAAGTGAAATGTATTATAGTTTTACATTCAATCTTTAGTATTGATATTTAAGGCCTTTTATGCTTGTAGGACTAAACATCGAGATTCTCCTGATGACCCCCAAATCATGTGCCTCAATCAGGAACTGTGGGCTCCGGGAAAGGTTGACAGTTCAGAGGGAAACTTACTGATAACCATTTTCTAAGAAATACTGTACTGAATGACAGCTAGTAGAAACTTATCCATGAAGGCAGAAACATGGGAAACCGTTTAATGCTCCTTCTTTCACTCTGGTCCCCCTGCTTCAATAGCCTTCCTTCCCAGTCCCCTCACACCATGCAGCCTGCTGGGGGCACGGGAGTGAGTGTCTGCTGGACAAACGCTCAACAATGCCCATGGCACACAGCAAGGAGAAGCAGGCTATCTGGAAGGTTCCTAGTCTGGGCAGTCGATCAACCCTTCTAAAAGGAAACACTGCCCGAGGAGAACGGGCTGGCTAGCTCCAAGAAATGGATTTCTGTCAGTGTGTCCTGATTCTAGGACCATGTGAGCATTCAAGTCCTCAGAAAGGCCACAATGTCTGATGTGCAAATGACAAACCTTGCTTGCTCAAAATCAAGAGGGCTTGAGATGCTTACTGATAAAGACCAAAGCCTACGGCCTTCAGTATGGATTACACATCAGCAAAAAGAAAACAAACATTCTCATGATCAGCTAATCAGAAACATCATGATGTACAAAGACTGAAGTTGTTATGGACGAAATTTTACTTAGCTCCTCAAGCAACGCAGCATCCAAGAAATGAAATGATTTCATTGCAGTGGGCAAAGCTGCTGCAAAAGATCTCTGTAAAGTACTAGGAAGGCTAAGGTGCCCCTGACCCAAGCCATGATATTGCAGCTGCCTTATGTGAACGCTGGACAATGGATAAGAAAGACAGCAGAAGCACAGAGACATTTGAATTATGGAGTTGGCAAAGAATACCGAATGCACACCACGGACTGCCAGAACAAACAAGTCTGTCTTGAAAATGTACCGCTGGAACGCTCCTTAGAAATGAGGATGGTGAAACTTGGTCTCTCATACTTTGGGCATGTTATCAGGAGGGATCAGTCCCTAGAGAAGGACATCATGCTAGGTAGAGCGGAAGGGCGGCAAAAAAGAGGAAGGCTCTCGATGAGATGGCTTCCACAATGCGCTCAAACATGGCAATGACTGTGAGAGGTGCTGACTGAGCAGGTTCTGCTCTTGAACAGAGCTGTGACTGGAAACCAACGCGATGGCCTCTAACTTAACCAGTAACCACGTCTCTCCACATGCAGAGGACAGAGCGCTGACAAGCTAAAGACCTATGGAAACAATTAGTCCAATGGATGAAAATACAAACATTCTCACTCTCTATAAACTTGAGACCAGAAGAACTAGATGGTGCCCAGTCACCACTACTGACTACTCTGAAAAGGGTCATTATAGGAGGTTACGGATAGAGCGGGAGAAAAATGCAGAACAAAACTCAAAATCATACAAGAGACCAGGCTTACTGATTGGATAGAGATAGGAGGGACACACACCCCTCGCCCCCCGAAAAGAAAAAAGTTCATAGTCACCCTTCAGATCTGCAACTGAACTCAGCCCTGTCACTGCGTAAGATCAAAAAGGGCGCATTTACTCAAGGACAAAGTTCAGAGGTTTAGAGAGGAGGAAGAATGGAAACAGTAAATATAGGGAGGCAGGGTGCACATTGAGGAGACTGAAATGGATGAGAAACACCAATTGTGTATGAATTATTAAACGTACGACTGATTATCTACTCTATAACCCTTCACTTAAATAGTAATAAAAAGTTTTTTTTTTAATTCTGGGCAATTAGAGACAGTCACCCTAAGTGGGTATGAAATGGTTTCTCACAGTATTATTAGTTTACAATTCCCTAATAACTAGTGATGGTGCTGAACAGGCATTTTATAATATATATATAATATAAATATATGTTTTTATATATATATAAAACTTAAGTTTTATATATATGTAAAAACTTAAAACAGATGAGAAGAACAGAAGTATACTTTAAGACATCTATGTACAGCTTACTCCTCCCGAGGAGAAAAAAATATAGATAACGAAATAAAGCAAAGCTCCAGAACAAGAGGAAAACAATGAACTTCATGCTGTAGTGATTGGAGAACTTTCAGTCCCTTGAAAACCTGAGAGGACTCACAGAGACGCATGCCCTCTGATGTGCCTGTGCGGTGCGAATGTAAAAGCCCCTCCAAGGACAAGTACAGGGCTTCACTGTATTCACAGTATTCAGTCTCGAATACTGGAAGGGTGATGAAAATTGAAAGACACGTGGAGTATTTAGCCCAATGGACAAACAGAACAAGCAAACCTGTGTACCTTATGGTACTCCCCCTCATCGTCCAAGAACACCCCCAGTTCCTTCAGCCTTCAACAACTTCTCGTTTTTCTCTTATTGCATGCGTAGGCAGCATCTTAAAATGCATCTTTAAAATATTTGTTTTTGTTTGCTCTGCACACCTGATCATATGCTTTCTCTTAGATCATAAGCTTTCTGTGACCTGGTGAGAAAGGCCCAGGGACCTGATCCTCTAGGGCTAGGAAACCCTACTCTTGTCACACGGGGTCGCCACGAGTCAGAACGGACAACACGTTAACAACATGCCTTCTGAAGGCCTCAGCACACCCAGCTACAAAATGCGTTGCTGAGCGCAGTAGTTACATGATTAGTTCAAGTTTTTAAATTTTCTATTATATATAAATTTTTCTTACAACTTTGTGAAGAAAAAAGTACTCCAATTTTACTTGCTCCCATGATTAGTTTCTGCAGGTAACTTCAGAGGAAGGACCTGGAGAAGAAAGGGCTCAGACGCAGTGTGCACTGTCACTGCACACCACCTAGGAACCTCGCGACTCAGGGAGCTGTGTGGGCTGCCAGGGCAATCTGAGAACATCTGAAACATTACTTTGTGGAATTTCACCTCCATGGTAGGAGAGTCTAACATAGAATATTTCTGATGTGCAGGAGCTGCATTTGCAGGGAGGCCCAAGGACACGGGGAAGAAGGTGGGCTTGGAGGTAGTCAGATCGGGGCTGGAATAACTTAGCTCATCGCCTCAGTAACAGCGGTGCTTTCACTGAGTTACTTGACCTTTCTCAGTCTACTTCTCTCAAGTCTAAGAGGAGACTTCCACCCGCTCTCCCAAGAGGTTATTGTGAACACGCACTCTGAGGACGCACTGTGAAATCTTACAGGACCTACCACAAAGTAGGCAGTTAAATTGGGAGTCTTTGCTCCTTTCTCCCTGAGCAAATTCTTGAAAGATGAAGTATTTAAATTTATCTTAATGTAGGATATTTCTAAATTCAGAAAGGTTCGGTTTTTAAATACAAATTCAGAACATCTGACGTTTTAAAATTTTTTGCTTTTACTAATTATTCCTCAAATGCTGCCTGTTTTTAACCAAATTAATCAGCCTCATGTTATTTTTGCTTAAGAGTCTTTGAAAACTCACATAATTATACTAAATCACCAGAGACTGTGTTCTCAGACATTATTAATGTCACATGTACTGAGAATCTATGGAGCAACTACTTATGTAGGATATACAAATCCACCTACGCAGGACTAGAGGCCCATGCATGGTGTATGACAAATCTTTGGCGATTTTCATAGGGCCACCAGCCTTCTAAAGGCATGATCTTCTAGGTGATGTGTACCAAAAGAGAATAAATTATAGTGAACATTAAAAAAATACACTTTTACTTTCATTTGCCTCATTAAAAATGTGCACTCTTCAAATGTTTGGAGAATGATGATGGCAACAAATGTACAAATGTGCTTGAACAAGGGATGTATGTATGGATTGTGATAAGACTTGTACGAGCCCCCAATAAAATGATTTTAAAAAATATGCTCTCTTCATTCAGCTTATAGATTTACTGATGTAAATTCTACTGCATGAAATGATGCTTTTCATCTCTAACAAGCCAATAATGGTGTGAGAGGATGTGTGTGTACCCATGTAAACATGTATTAAAGCAATCTAGCGAATGAATTTTCAAGACATTTTCTAAGACATGTTAAACAAAGTTCAATAAACCCTGCATCTGACCAGTAATTCATGTGTGTTAGTAAGTGGCAACATTTCCCTTCCACTTACCTCCACCGCTGCTACACCCGGTGGTGTTTTCTCCGGGAGAATAGCCCATGAGACCTCCATTCCCATTTGGATTTGAAGGCACTGATGCAAGAAGACCTGCAAGGTAAAACAATTCCTATGAAATGATGATCCAGGGACTACTCCAGGGCACGCACATAAACAGCTGGAGAAACAGATTCAAGGCAGGTCTTGGCATACCCAGTCCTCGGTATCGGGAAAGCTGCTGATAGATCTGCTTCATCCTTTCAATATTTAAGCGGCTTGCCTCTGCGTGGTTCACCATTGGCTTAGGGTAGTTCACTCCTATCAAACATTTGGCTACTTTCTGGATCCCTTCTGGGGCATTCCAGGGATCATAGATATATTTTGCAGGGAAGCCTCTCAGGACAGGCAAATAACGCCTTTTGGGAGAAGGAAGAAAAATCATTATTAAAATGCACTGCAAGCAAATCTTAACAAGCTATTGTTAGCTACGCACAACCCAAATCAAATCAGTCTCATTTTAGGAGCCGTTTACCCTTCTGCCCTTCTCTGCTGCCCATAAAGAGGGAGGAGGGATGCTTCACATGTTGCTTAAACATGAAAAGCTCTTCCTAGAGCACGAGTCCACGCTGAAAGATCCCCACCCTTATTTACCTGATATAGTCTCCGTTGGGATCTGTTCTCCGACCAAAGCCAACAGGGCAGTAGCAGTGAAAGAACTGCTGGAAAAAGGAACTACAAGACAGCCACATCCAACTGCCGGCATTGATGCTCCAATCTGCATCAAGCAGCAACTCTTCAAATACCTTCAAAACGCACAGCAACCAATTAGTTTGCACTCACATCACTTCACAGCAAGCATTTTCCAGGTCACAAAAGGTCAAAAAGTCAGGGCAAAGAAACTCTAGTACAGAATTGTAAAATCAGACATCCCAAAGTTAGTGTTCTTGTCTAAGTTCTGTTGTACAATATTCTACGATGAGTCATTTCATGAACGAAGCATATTGATAAAATGAGTAGATTTCTGAATAAAATTTACTTTTCTAACCTTTGTACAGTCTTATGGGGTTAAGACGGCAGGGTAAAATAATTACTCAAATCACTGATTTAACAGATGGAAAAAAGGAAGGGAGAAAAAAAGCAAAGGCAAGTAATAAAACACTTCCAAGAAAGCAAAAATGCTTCTAAATATAAACCAACCAAAACACTGAAACTAGGTTCACTAATGATCTACATACTCACTCACTGCCATAAACCTTTAGGGCAGGGTAGAACTGCCCCTATAGGTTTTCAAGACTGTAACTTTTTATGGGAGGAGAAAGCCTCCTCTTTCTCCTGCAGAATAGCTGGTGGTTTAGAACTATATTACATACAGGAGCACCCAAATAGAAATGATCTTTAAAAATAGACTAGTGTTATTGAGTTTAAATTTGGAATGCCTTGATCCAAAGGGGAAAACAGAATTAAATGATTTTTTTAAAAGTTCATTACGTGTGTGCTATACATTTACTTCAAGTATAACTTTTTACTTGGAACTAAGGTGCAAAGTATTATAGAATCAAGAAATGACCCTAACATAAAGAAAACCAAGAATATAGCCAAGAGCTGATAAAGCTTATACCCAAGGCCTGTTATACATGACCACAGATGAGTCACAGAATGTAGTATGCCTTAGTTTAAGAGCACCACGAACCAGACCTGTAGCCACCAGGCTGGCTCCAACTCACAGGGGCACTAACAGGACAGAGCACTACTGCCTGCAGGGTTTCTGAGACTCGAATCTTCATGGAAGCAGATGTCACATCTTTCTCCTGCGGAGAAGCGGGTGTGTTTCAACCAGACCTTTCACTTTGCAACCCGGTGTTTGAACCACTGCACCGCCAGAAATGCCCCTACAAAGCTGTGATGGTGAAGTGAGAGGAATGATTTCTTTAAATAGAAATTCATTCTTTCTAAGAACTCTCGGGTGACTCCTTCCAGGTGACACAAATCAACACAGTGTTGATCTTGGGAGTTCCCGTAACGGGATAGGCTGGTGTAGTCAATGAAATGACTTTGGGTTAATCACATTAACCAGTTTTCACTATTTTACTGGTCTGACTATACCATCATGCTCTCTAAAAGTGTGGGAATTAAATATTTTATCCACTACAATAGTAGCCTACAAATGAATCTATAGACTAGATTAATGGATCATTTTTAGGATTTGTTTTAACTAGGTAAGATTCCTTCAAAATCCTAGCATGCTGCACTAGTTAGAAGGACACCTACCTTCATTCCTTCTTCCCAACTAATCCACAGGTCACCTCGTGTCAGGAAACAAGCGACTGCATGCCGGGCTAAATGGTGAATCCAGCCTTCTTGGCGAAGCTGTGTCATAATGGCATCAATCCACGGAAAGCCTGTCCGGCCTTCTGCCCATTTGGCTAAAGCCTCAGGATTCTTATCCCAAGGAATCTGGACACAAATAGGGTTTCCTTCCATCTTATCAAAACGAGGGTTATTTGTCGCTGCAGTATAGAAAAACTCACGCCATAACAGCTGCCCATAAAGAGAAAGGGGTGGAGAGCTGTTCTTCTTCACCTACCATGACACAGAAAAGTAGCATCAGGCAGTTTCTTAGTAAGTACTTAGAAAAATAAGCTCCGGTTTTAGATAATACCTTTTTGTAGAGATCTGTTAGCTTAAAGTAAAACAGTCGACAGGACAGACAACCAAATCGGAGATAGGGACTGAGCCCAGTAGGACTTGCCAGCAAGGAATTGGCATTCATTCGCGGTCTTTCAAAGTTTGCCACCCAAGCCTGCAAACACACACAATGAATTACGTTAGCTGATCACTCTTTCAATTTTAGAAGCGTGGTCCACACTGAGGTCTGTTTGTATAATTACATAGTTCTCAGAGAATAAAAGCTTACTGTTACCCCCAGCTACAAATGGTATACTATAATAAAAAGTAAGAGGATAAAAGATAGTGGGCATTCTTTTGTCTCAGCTATCATCATGCAGCACACAGCCCTGTGCAACAAGTTACCTTCTGATAACAAACACAAGGCTGAGTTCCTCCCACCTGTTTGTCTGACACTCTCCGTGAGGGCAGGTGAAAGAAAAGCAGCTTCAGGTATGAGCATCAGAAACCATCACAGGGAGGAAGGAAGAGGAAGTTGGTTGTAGCCCAAGGGGAAACGATCAGAAGATGTGAAGGGCATTGAGATGAGGAGCCCAAGTTGAGGTCTGGGCCGCTGTAACTATTCCCTGGTTACAAGAACAGTTCCGCTGACCAATTCTGGAGAAGAACGGCACGTTCGGTAAAGCAGAGGGGCTGCAAAGGGAGGAAGGCCCTCGAGGAGATGGACTGACACTGTGCTGCAACCATGGGCTCAGGCCTGGGACCCATATTGAGCATGTCGCAGGACCGAGCAGTGTTTCCTTCTGTTGTGGAGAAGGTCACTATGAGTCGGTACAGCCTTGATGGCGCCTGACAACAGCAACAGCAATAGCAACAACAATTCCCTTAGTCCTTCAACAATCTAAGTGCTACATTTCTAAAAAAAAGACAGTGAAATATAATTTTCAAAGTATCAGTTTGGAAATATGAACATAGTATATTCTCTTACTTTTCTTTCCAAATGTCTTTCCAAACGTGTGAGTGCTTCAGTTTCTCCACCTGGCCATACTGCAGAGGGTAAGCCATCTGTATCAAAACCTAAAAAAAGAAAGAAAATAATCTTTTTTTGAAGTGAAAATAAATTTTATTTCACCATAATTGTGAAATCACTTTGCTGAATCACTATGGGAGTAGCACTTAAAATTATTTGAAGGTGTTGGATGTCATTGGTGTTAGGTACTAATTAATAGTGACCCAATGAACACAAGACAAACTGTCCTGGGTCCTAAAGATCCTTACAATTGTTATGTCTGAGCCCACAGTTGCAGCTCTGTTAATCCATTTCGTCGAGGTCTTCTGATTTGACCAAGCTCATGATGTCCTGGTGGCACAGTGGGTTGGTTACACACTGGGCTGCTAGCCGTCAGGTCAGCAGTTTGAACCCATCAGTCACTAGGTAGGAGAAAGATGAGGATTTCTGCTCCCATAAAGATTTACAGTCTCGGACGGGGCAGCTCCAACCTGTTCTTTAAGGACTCTATGAATCAGAATTGACTCAATGGTAGTGGGGTCCCTAGATAGACTCCGATACATAGAGTAGCTGACATGGTCTCTAAGATTTAGGGCCTACATCATCTCACAGTGATGGCGATGATCCCTTGCTATAGAGCACATGAGTAATGAACAGAACCATCACTCCTTAGTGTAAGCGTGTCTTTTTAGCATGTAGTTGGAAATATCTTATGTGGCAGAAGTAGAAGTGGGATTTTCTGAAGGATCTATGAATCATTAACTCAACACGTTTATTACCATCTGTACTCACCTAGCTCTTCCAGTGATGGAACGCCGTATTTCTCATCATGGTCATCGGATAGAGGTGTCACACACTTTTCTATCACTTCTGAAGTAATGGTTTCAACTGGTATCTCTAGAGGTTCCATTTTGCTGATGAGAGTCTGGAATCTTTTATAAGTGAGAGGTGGCTGTCCACCATTGAGCTCTATGATCCTATTAGAAGAGAGGGTACAGCGCAGTTAATATAAAAAACAATATACTTTGTTGATAATCTCTGAAAGACTTAAAATCAGAATATCAAATTAAGCACTTAAAACTTCTAAGAGAATGCTAGCTTCTTATAGAACCAGGCAACTGATTCGGAATGGTTAGTGAGTATAAAAATCATTCTCTTCATTTTCTAAGTATCTGCTAAATATAAAACACGTAGCATGCAAATACTAAAACCTCTGTTAATGGGTGTTAAACAAGCATCAGAATGAAAAAAGTTACAAAGTGATTACATTTGCCAAAATGCAGGAAAAAAATTATAATTGAGGGGGTTCAAAAAGTTTATGAAAAAAATCTCCATTATCTTTTATTTCTCTTTATCCATGAACTTACTTACTGAAACCCCCTCGATTATAACTGGACATGTAAAAAACATTATCAATAAGAATATCACAACTCATCAATAAAAATAACACCTGGCCATCAAGAAACAATTAGCAAGTCTCTTACATTAGGATCCAGTACATGTATTTTACATCAGGCACATGCTTATTAGCACATATAAGCACCCCTTGCCACCACAAACATTTTAAATTATTTACGTTTCCTTAAAAACAACAACCACCCCCCTCCCCCCAAACTAAATCCACTGCCATGGAGTCAATCTGTCTCACTCACAGTTAAGCATCTTTAATATTTATTTGTGATCACCAATTGCCTCAATTAATTCATGTGCTGAAAGATATATTAGTCTTTTCAATGGTAGTTTAGATTAGATGTTATTTGGGAACAATTCTTTTTCACTAAGGCTGTTTGCTAGCATTTGGCCTTAACATTTCTCCAGGAGGAGAAATCCAATTCCCTCATTTTATAGATGAAGAAATTGAAGTCCACCAGGAGTATGAAGCAATTTGGAAAAGGGAATATAATGGATAAATGTCAAATCAAGGTTCTCTTAATCCTAGTCAATTATATTTTCATTTCAACTGCATGTACAAAAAGTAATCACCATCAGGGCAAAGAATGTACAAATGTGCTTTACACAATTGATATATGTATGGATTGTGATAAGAGTCATATGAGCCCCTAATAAAATGATTTTAAAAAAAAAGAAATAAAATGAGGGGGAGGGAGGGGGTGAATGAAGAGCTGATAACAAGGGCTTAAATAGAAACTAAATTTTTATAAAATAGTGATGGCAACATATGTACAAATGTGCTTGATACAATTGCTGTATGGGTTGTTATATAAGAGCTGTAAGAGCCCCCAATAAAATGATTGTTAAAAAAAACAACAAGTAATCACCATCAAAGTTACTCTCTCTGCCTTTAGTGACTTTTACTTTGGTGTGTTATCTTGAATCGAATTGATAACATAATGAAACTGTTGACTGCAATAGGATGTTAATTATACTATTGAGGGAGGGCACTACTAATCAACAACACAGTAACAAAATGAGAACCTTAGGCAGAAACAATTCCTATACAATATATATATAATTTTATTTATTTTAGTTTTAAGTCATTTTTATTGGGGACATATAGCCCTTATCACAACTCAAAAATTTATTTTTTATGATAGATTTTATATGGCAAATACGCAAACTGAATTTGGTGAGTTCATTTTATGCATAATACTGAGTCTTCCATTAGAATCAACTGCTCATGTCTAGGTTTGTCTCTTTGCTACCAGCTCCCTAACGTTAAGCAAACTGAGAAAAATGAGAAAGTAAGTTTATTATCAAAGATATATAACCTCTTGCCAATATGAAGTCAAATCCTGGCCTTAATTATGTAATCCAATCATGATTTAGATATCTGAGAAAGAAGGATAAAAGTAACTAGTTTGTCACATTACAGCATTATACTCATCAACTCGATGAAATGTGAACAACTAAAAAAGTATAAAATATGTTAAAAAGTACATGAATTATGAGATTTCAGAACTAGGAAGAAAGATTGTATGCCTTAAGTTTTAGTAAGTTAGCAAACCTTACAAGCTTCCTAAACTCATTTACAATACAGAATACTTCCTAAACTTATCTTTGAACACACTAGAATCCACCTGGGAAACAGTATTAAGCTACTGGGTTCAGAGGACCACAGGCATGTAAAGCAATGTTAAGTACAACTTGCATTTGGATTTAAAACCCAGGTAAGGGTGAAAGATATGCACACATGAAAAAAAAAGAACATAAAATCTTTTGAAACATCAAAGCATTTTCTGGCTACAGAGCACATAAATTCTAAAAGTACTGATGCTAACGGTGCTGAAAGGCAAGACCACAGCAGGCAGTCAAGGAAAATTTTGTGATTCTCCAAGAATGATTTGGAAAATATAATGCTGAGTATTTTTCACTTTTGCACTATTTTATAATTTTGGTATGATGCCTGTCATTAGGTGAATAAAAAAACAGAGCAGCTAAATAAAACACTGAGGTTTTGACATATATATTCTTTAAATTTTATCACAACTCTATGATATACACATTATCATTTCCACTTTAAAAAGGCGTAAGTTAAACGTACTTGTCCAGGTCATATAACGTATGTGAAATGCGTACAATGACTTCTACTCCTGCTTCCGTGGCCAGTTTCTTAATGGCTGCATCACGCTCTTTGCCAAAGGGCTCAGAATCATACTCAATGGAAAGTTTGGTAATGTCCCATTCCTAAAAGCAGTATGGATAAAAAAATGTAGACACATTAAAAATAGTTTTTTCATAATTAAGTATAGGGAAAAAAGGTTAAAAACCCATTTATCAATGATTATATATAAACTGAACTTTGAATATGCAAGAATAAATACTAAGGCCAAGTCAAGAAGTACTGGTACAAAAATCATAAAACGCAGAAGCTATTTTTTCTCAATATGTCCTCCCCATCTAGGTCTATACACCTTTGAAGGTGTGTCCACCTCTCTGGCTCTTCCCCAAAGAATCTGTACTCAATTGCCAACACGTCAAAATGGCAGTTTTGGCATCCTTTAGGGACAAAAATGGTGCTCCTTTTCATGTTCTTTGAGTTTGAGGAGCAAAAAGAGGCCTGAAAGGGGGCAAGATGAGGGTTGTAGAGTCGATGGGGTGAGCCTTCTAAAGGAAATTCTCTCACGACAGCCTTGTCAACCTTGAAGAAAGAGCAGGTACATTGTCTTGATAGAAAAAAATTCCTTGGCACAACTTTGCTGGCCTTTTTCTCACTAATGCAATCTTCAATTTTCTGAAAACTTTTCCATAAGAAAGCCTCTGTGATGATCTATCCTTCAAAAATTTGATCAAGGTTAGTTTCCTTCAGTAGCTGAAGCAACAGTCGTCATAACTTTCCGAACTACCTCTTTTCCTTGACTTTAACTGGCCCAGCAGCTCCCCTGGAAAGCCACTGCTCTGCTTGACCTTTCCCCTTTGACAAGTCCCCTCACGAGGCTATGTGTCACTGAGAGAACTTGTCTGCAGCCCCCCACTTATCGCAGGCATGTTTAAATGCATTTTTAAAATAAACTTGTACATGTCTACACAGGAACTGTATTAGACTATATGTATGTAACTATTTAACTCTCCTAAGGGCACAATTTATTGATTCAAAATATGTGTATATAAATGTGGGTAATCTGGGTATTGTACCAGGCATTAGATTAATCTAGCAGTATGCTTAAAGTCACCTTCTTACACAAAATTCATTTGTAGAGCACGTTATTTTTGCCCAAATTTCTTCTACAGTCTTTCTACTCCCATAGAGTTCAGTCTCCGCAAAGCACAGGAGCAGTTCTACCCTATCGTATAGGACCGCTGTGAGCTGGAACTGACCCAATGGCAGTGAGTTGACACCCCTGAGTCAGACATGTTGGCTGGTAACTCCAATTTGCAGAAAGTTATTTAAAGTTTTAGGGGTTTGCTCAGGGTCACAGACAGAACCAGTTTATGTGTCTGCTGAATCACTAACCTTCAGCAAACCTTTGACAGCTGATTTAGTATTTTGAAGGTAAAAAAAAATGTTAACTGGAAACTGGGGAGAATTTGGAGACAACAACCATAATCGCAGTTATTATTTAGTGCCAAGTGCTATCTTAATATGTTTCTTTACATTTATATCATGTCTTTTTACTTATTTTAATAAGGAAACCATAACATAAGGAAATTAAGTAATTTTCCAAGGAAGTTGTAAAGTTTTTAAAATTTTAAAATCAACTTTGAAAAAAAAAATCAACTTTGATATCACACATATATACAAAACACTTCTATAATCCTCTATAGATCAGACAAGGTTTGGTTCCATTTTTTAAAATGTTATTATAAACCTTGGAGTGTATATATTGACGTATACATCTTAAACATTTGGGGGTATTGTCCTATTAGTTCCTAGAAAATCAATTTGTTGGTCAAATCACTGAATTCACTGATCACTCAATTCCTTGATCAATTCACTGAAAATCAAGTCACTGATCAAAGATAAGCACATTTAAAATTCCGATAGACAGATGTGCTAAATGTTCCACCAGATATATGAGGGGTACCCTCCAAAAACTGGAATTTTTTTCAAAGCTATTTGAAAATTAATTTAAAAATTCAATTTTTTTTCTTTTTTACAAAACAACCTTATCACCTCCAAGGGACTCTCCATTACACTTCACGTATTTGTCAAATCTGCAATTCCATTCTTGGAAACATTTTTCAAACTCATCTGTGTGGATGGCTGACAACACCTCCCTCGTTTTTTTCCTTCACCTCTTTCACATCTTCAAATCACTGTCCTTTCATGTCCCTCTTCATTCATGGAAACAAAAAGAAGTCGTATGGAGTGAGGTCAGGTGAGTCAGGTGAGTGGGGCAAGAGTGGCCTGCTGTTTTGTGCCAAAAAGTGGGCACCAAGATGGCTGTGTGAGCAGGTGTATTGTCGTGGTGGCAAAGCCAGTCCCCGGTCTGCCACAAATCAGGTTTTTTTTTTGGTTGCACACAGCTATGGAATCTTTTCAGAACCTCTAAGTAGAAAGCCTGATTAACAGTCTGACCTGGTAGAACGAACTCCAAATGCACAATGAGAATGGAAGTTGATGGATGTCCAGAATGAGGTTTGTCATCAATTGACATTTCACCTTTTTTTGAAATGAAAAAACCACTCGTACACTTAAGTTTTACCCATAGCACTGTCCTTGTAAGCTGTGTTCAACATCACAACTCTTTCTTTCTTTTTTTAAAAAAATCATTTTATTAGGGGCTCATACAACTCTTAACACAATCCATACATACATCTATTGTGTAAAGCACATTTGTACATTCATTGCCCTCATCATTCTCAAAACATTTTTTTTTAAATCATTTTATTAGGGGCTCATACAACTCATCACAATCTATACACACATCAATTGTGTAAAGTGCATTTGTACATTCATTGCCCTCATCATTCTCAAAACATTTTCTCTCCACTTAAACCCCTGGTATTAGGTCCTCATTATTCCCCTCCCTCCCCACGCCCCCTCCCTCATGAGCCCTTGATAGTTTAAAAATTGTTATTTTGTCATACCTTGCCCTGTCTGACGTCTCCCTTCACCCACTTTTCTGTTGTCCGTCCCCCAGGGAGGAGGTCACATATAGTTCCTTGTAGTCGGTTCCCTCTTTCCTACCCATTCTCCCTTTACCCTCCCTGTTTTGCCACTCACACCACTGGTCCTGTAGGGCTCATCCGCCCTGGATTCCCTGCATTTTCAGTTCCTATCTGTACCAGTGTCATCCTCTGGTCTAGCCAGACTTGCAAGGTCGAATTCGAGTCATGGTAGTGGGAGTGGGGAGGAAACATTTAGGAACTAGAGGAAAGTTGTATTTTTCATTGTTGTTACATCATACCCTGACTGGCTCATCTCCTCCCCCGAGACCCTTCTGCAAGGGGATCTCCAGCATCACAACTATTTCTACAGCACTTTTCCCCCAAGCAGGAAACAGAATTTCACAGCGGCATATTGTTCTCTTAAACTGGCCATCACAACAAACAAGGTTGGAGGGAAATGGCTTTTATGAAAAAAATTCATTGTGACCAGAGAGAACCTTCCCAGGAAATACCACTGAGTGCACTAACTCAGAGAAGTTGCTCCATACTTGCTTAAGGGGAAAAATGTGTACTTCTAAAGCTCCGCTATGCCCAGTGCAATTCTGGTTTTGGGGGTAGCCCCTTGTACTTACCGTTCCAATCTCTGCCCCCACTGCACTCCTTGAGTGCTTGTTCCCACAACTGTACCAACAACGTGTGTTAGTCATTTTTCAAAAGCTCTGATCAGCTATTGGCAGAAAACCACCTCATTGCTTTCATTTGCCTTTCTTGAACATCTGGAAGAATGCATACCAGGCTCGTAAAGAGGAGTAGCATTTGGATGTGTAAATACGATGTTTATTTTATGCGCTGTTCAGATGTTAGTATAAGCAAGTTTTAAAACTTAAGAAGTAATTGAAATGAAAGTAGGAAAGTGCTATATTTCTTTTTTTTATTATGAGGTAGTGTAGCGTAGTCCAACAGAATCTAATGTTGGACTTCTGGAGTTCAAAGACTGGCTCAACTATCTTAGGCAAGTTGCTAAATGCTGCAAACCCATCTTGTGACTGCTTACTACAGAGGATGTAGGTAAAGTGTTAACAGTGTCGAGAACAAGGAAAGCTCTGTTAAGTACTTGCTAAAGTAAATTACTAGGACAGTAATGGTTACATTAAATGAGACAATGCACCTAGTGTGCATCCTACAAGACTTTGAAGAAAGGAAATTTACACAGCAGGTGTTACTCTCTTGTGCACCTCAGTGGCCAGACTGGCTTAATCTATGCTGTTAATGCACAAAACAACTTGATAGATTTTTCACTCCTGCGGTAAATTACTCCAAATGTCTTATTAATCAGTATGTTATACTCTCTGACAAAAAGCATTATACCATGATTTCCCACATTACCTTGAAAAGCCTGGGAAATACATCTGCTGGTTGCCCACGAATCACGAACAGACGAGAGTTTAATTTCCGCAGATTGGCATCAAGATCCTCAAGACATTGAAGCAAAAATCTAGAGAAAACAAGATATTAAAAGTATTTTAAAATATTTCTTTAGAAGATAAAACTGTTTCAAAATCATGGCACTTTAAAAGTAGAAATAGCAGGTCATCATCTTTCTGGTATCATCTTTTATTGTAAATGATGTAAATGAATTTCCAGAAACTTTATTTAAATTTCCATTTAAATTACTACTTGAGTTTCCCAATAATTCCAATGTCATTCCTAAGTTAAATACCACAGGTTTCCATTAAATATCTAATGGTAAGTAAAAAGTATTGCTACCAGGGTTTCGGTTCAAGTAAGCACAGATTTATTTCCAGTAATGTGTGTTTAATCATGTCTGTGATCAGTGGACGGCTGTAGACAAGTTCTCTTAGTAATACACTTAGTGTCACTAAGGATTCTTAAAAACAACAAAAAATGTCCAGTCAAAACAATGGCTTCCAATGGGATCTCCTGGGCCAGTTAATTTCATCTCAGAAGGCATGGAGACTTTTTTTAATTTTAACTGGTTAATTTTGATAGACTTTCTCAAAGGAAATAGGATCATCACAAGGGCTACTACGGGAAGAAGTTTTAAGAAAACTGAAAACTGCAGTGGAGAGCAATAGGGCCAAAACGTTGTACAAGGCTTTCCAGCGCTGACGACTGCCCTGGCGGCAATCATGCCTCTCACAAAGGATCTCCCTTCATCCCTGACCCGAAGAGGAGAAGAGAAAACACAAGAAGAAGCGCCTGGCGCAGAGCCCCAACTCCTACTTCATGGATGTCAAATGCTCAGGCTGCTATAAAATCATCACGGTCGTCAGCCATGCACAAACAGTAGTTTTGTGTGTTGGCTGCTCTACTCTCCTGTCAGCCTACAGGAGGAAAAGCAAGGCTCACAGAAGGATGCTTCTTCAGATGGAAGCAGCACTAAAAGACTCTCAGTCAAGATGAGTGGAAAGCCATTCTAATAAACCCATTTTGGATACATAAAAAAAAAAAACCAACAACCCACAAAGTTGTGCAAGGAACGTTTCCCCATCACAAAAACGCACCTGCTCATTCTTCAAAGTTAGCAAGGCTTATCCTATGAGCACTTCCTTTGGAAGCCTTTGGAGGCCCTGACTTTGCACTCCTCAGACTTCTTTTGTTATGTTACTCAAGCTCGGGGAACAATTTAAAGCAACGGGATTTGAGTCCCTTGAAGATCTCCAAATTGCTCTTTGGAGGCAGTGCAAATCAGAGAGTACTGGATCCTAAGAGGGAGAGACTGCTTTTGGTAGAGTATAGCTCTAGAGCAGCGGTTCTCAACCTGTGGGTTGCAACCCCTTTCGGGATTGAAGGAACCTTTCAAAAGGGTTGCCCGATTCCTAACAGTAGCAAAATGACAGTTATGAAGTAGCAACGAAAATAATTTTATGGTTGGGGGGGTCACCACAACATGAGGACCTACCTGTATTAAAGGGTCACGGCATTAGGAAGGTTGAGAACCACTGCTCTAGACCGAGAGTTTGCTGATAAACAACAGCTTCACATTTTGGTATTTCTGTGAAATAAAGGTTCCTAAAAGTATATAACAGCACTTTATTTATTTATTCTCATCATTGTTAGCCAAAGTTTAACTTTTGAGCATAAAAGTTGTATAGAAAAGTAACAAAGCCATTAAATAGCCTGACTTCCTCTTTCAATTTAATGAAATGAATCGATGTTCATACAGAAAGGCCACCATTAAAAAACCTAGAACTTTATTTAAAATACAAAACTGCAGCATCCTGTTGACTTTGAGCAAATGAATAATTTAAAATTTTGTGTACCTTACTCGGTGATATTATAAACATCTAAGAAAAAATAAGATGCCCACTTTTAAGTTTATAGTCTGATTTTTAAAAATCAACTAATAGTAAATAAAAACTACATTATAGGACATTAACCCTCTGCGTGTAGAAAATCCCTCATTATTCAACCAAAGTTTCAGGATGCCTGGAAATGGTGACTTTTCCAGTGAAATCGGTCCCAACAAGGCAGGCAGCAGGCAGAGATCAGGGACACAAGGCAGCACTGGATGTCTTGCTGTGCCTCTTCTTGGACACACCACTCTTGAAATGCTCGACTTCATTGTCTGTCTCAAGCTAACGTTCTCTAATTTCTCATCTAAATTCTGTTCCACTCAACTGGATGTAATTCTCTACTTCGCTTTTTTGTTCTTAATCATATGGTTGTCATCCCTTTTCAAAGGGGGTGTGCTCTTTGAGAATATGTCTCCTCCTCACAGTGTCTTACTTTGTGAGGAGGAATGATTAGGGCCAGGGGCAGTCATACTCCATTTCTGATGTAGGAGCCATTAGCCTCATATATAGCCCTTTTAGATTTGAAATAATTCAAATTAAGAATTCGTTAACTCAGTAATACTAGTCTCATTTCACATCTTAAACAATCATATATGGCTAGTGGCTACCCTACTGGGTAGCACAGGCATGTCTCCATCACTGCAGAATGTTTTCTTGAACATCACTGTTCTACAAGACTTTTCTTTCTTATTTTTTTGTTGTTCTATTAGGGGCTCATACAACTCTTATCACAATCCATACATACATTGTGTAAAGCACATTTGTACATTCATTGCCCTCATCGTTCTCACAACATTTGCTCTCCACTTAAGCCCCTGGCATCAGGCCCTCGTTTTTCCCCTCCCTCCCTGCTTCCCCCTCCCTCATGAACCCTTGATAGTTTATAAATTATTATTTTTTTCATATCTTCTACAAGACTTTTCTGCTATCTTTTTCTGTCTTTACCAAAAGTCTCTTAGTTTTTCTAAATAATTATAGTTATTAGTGACACCAGTCTTCCCAATCAAGCTTGAAAGTCTTTCCCCTTTACAAGTAAGTCATCATCATCTCTACCGTTTGAGGAAGTCAAAGACCAGTCACTATTTCACCACAGAAAGTCTTTCCCAAATCTAGGGCCATCAAGTGCATTCTGATTTATAGGAGACCTATGGAACAGAGTAGACATGTCCATATGGCTTCTGAGGTTTTTGCTCTTTACAGAGGCAGACTGCTTCATCTTTCCCCCAGTTGCCATAAGCAAATAATGAAGAACCACCTGCCCCCCAAACCCTATTTTCCCATCTTTGCTTAAAGCCACCTCTGTAAATATCTCTCAAGTACTCCCAATCAGCCACCCCCATTGTGCAACTAGCAGTTGAGATTTTGGTTGTCATTGCTATAACAATATAAGCGCATCTCAATGTCATAAAATTCTGGGTAAATGACTAATTTGGCATGGATGGAGACAAATGTTTACTGAGAGTCACCTTGCTTTATGTATTTGCTTGGCAAGCACTGTAGTTTTTTTTGTTTTTTTTTAAATCTTACTCACTGTAGTAGCCACTTCAAATATTAAAAACTTGAGTGAACAAGCAGTTTTCTTAGTCAGAAACAGCATAAAACCAAAACTAACCAAAAGGACAATCTAAGGCAGAGTTAATCCCTAAAACACTTTTGTACCAATAATTGCATTAACTTCTCTGTAACAGTGGTTAAAAGTAGGAGTTCTCTGTATTCAAATTTTAGGTGGAAATGTTTCTATCTGATAAAAACAACTTGGGGGTAGGAAAACAGTAAAATGGGAAAAGAGAAAAGCCAAAGGCCCTGATTATTAATAATGAAAATTAAACCTGAATTAACTAATAATTGATCCATTAATTTTTCTTTTCCTGTTCCCAGAAAGAATAAGCAATCATAGTGCTCTCCAGTAAACAGTCTGTGAGCCAAACAAACATACAGCATATGAAGAGGATAATGCCACCGTAGTGGAAAGATTTTGCATTTTGTTCTGGCACATCATGAAACAAAGGATAGAAGCTGTACTTAAATGTAGTATTTATTTCTTCAGTAAATGTAATATGGGTGTTTTTCTTTCATCCGATATTATCTTTCCTTTGTTGTTGTTGTCCATTCCTACTCATAACCACCCTCCAGGGCTTCCTAAGCTGTCACCTTGATGGAGGCAGACTGCCAGAGCCTACTCTTAGGGAGTGGCTGATGGGTTCAAACCACTGACCTTCTGGCTAGCAGCCCAGGACTTAATCCTCATGAACCACCAGATGTCTTATCACCTCATATGCATGTGAAAGTCACACAGTGAATAAGGATGACCAAAGAATCGATGTCTTTGAATTATGGTGTTGGTGAGTACTGTAGATACCACAGACTGCCAGAAGACTAACAAATCTACTTGGAAGAAGTACAGCCAGAATGAGAACGAGAATGGTGAGACTGTGTCGCATGTAGTTTGGACATGGCATCAGGATGGATCACTCCCTGGAGCAGGACGTGCTTGGTAAGTAGAAGGTCAGTGAGAAAGAGAAAGCCCTCACAGAGATGGACGGACACAGTAGCTGCACCAATAGACTCAAAGACAACAATGAATGCGAAGAGGGTATTTTCAGTATTCTTCACCAACATCATAATTTAAATTCTTCTGTGGGTCCCTTTATTTATTGCCCAGCGTTCACAGTAGACTTTTACCAGGCGCATATTTTCAGACCCTTCCCGGTTTGGCACAAATACTGTTTTCATAAACTATGCCCATTTGAAGGCTCAGTTCATAATGCCATTAATGACACACAAGAGATAGGTTTTAAAATAGGCCACATGATAGTAAAACTCACTACTCACCCCTTCACATAATTAAACTGCCTACACAGAAACACAGATCTCCTGCTACGTAATTATAATAGGTTACACTAAAATGAAGAGGCACTAGGCAAGAAAATGTCTTTCTTCACTTTAAACATTAAGAAAAAAAAATTTCCTCCAGCAAGCACCACTTAATTGGTAGTTTTTTAAAAATGCAGCGAGTTTCCTCATACTATTTCTAATAGATGATCTCATCATGAATCAACAGAAATAGTTACTTAAAGTAGGTCATTGCTATAGCAACCAAAGGGTGGTTGGTATACTTCAGTCACAATGACCTACTTTCTGGCCTGGGCTAGAACAGTTTTATATAACTAGATTTTTT